GATGTTTTTCTCATGAGAATTTTTTATCTTTATATTTTTACTTTTTATTTTTAAAGATTTTATTTATTTGACATAGAGAGAGAGAGAGAGAGAGAGAGACAGTGAGAGATGAACACAAGCAGGGGGAGTGGGAGAGGGAGAAGTGGGCTTCCTGCTGAGCAGAGAGCCCAATGCGGGACTTGATCCCAGGACCCTGGGATCATGACCTGAGCTGAAGGCAGACATTTAATGACTGAGCCACCCAGGCACCCCTATATTTTTATTTTTTAGAGAGAGAGTACACACAAATAGGGTGAGCAAGAGGCAGAGGGATAGAGAGAGAATTTTAAGCACCTCTGTGCCCAGCACAGGGCCTGATGTGGGGCTTGATCTTAGGACCGTGAGATCATGACCTGAGTTGAAATCAAGAGTAAGATGCTTAACTGACTGAGCTCCCCAGTCCCCTCTCATGAGAATTCTTAACACTGTTTTTCAAAATAATTTATATTATAGAAAAGCTACAAAAACAATACCAAAATTTTCATATCCTTCACCTTGATACTCCATTTCTTGAGTATTTGAAACCTTAAGGGAAGCCCATGAACCTGAGAACATGGCAGGCTATTGAGCTTCTCCTGAGCATCCCAGAGATGCTCTGGCTTCTCTGTCACAAGGTTAGGTTGTTTGGCTCCTCCTTGTATTGCCTACATACTTTCCTCTTAATTTGATAGATATGCTTTTTATTAAATGTGCCCTTCACATCTCTCATTATCTCTTGGTTCCAGTTTGGAGCTCTTAATCCATCATCACATTCCACAGAGGTCACATTTCCATGAGCTGTTTTCAGCCAGTAACTGAATATGGCAGGGAAACTAAGGCAGGCCCATTCCTAGAAGATACAGAATTCCTCTAACAGATGACGTTGACTTGGGGATACCCAATGACCTTGACTAATTCTGTTTAGAACTGCTTGATAGTCTCAGATGATTCTTCTACCAAAAGTTATTTTTTTTATCTTTCTCCTCAACTCAAGGTGAATCTTACCTCAAAATATGACAGTTCTTCCTGTTTCCTTTTTATCCATTCTTGTCTCCTTTTTGTAATGTTACCTAGCCCCTCATTGGCTGTTTGTCTATTTTGCCCCAGAGATGTCATGCTCTATTAAACATCTCCACAACTGCTTGCACTTTTTTTTTTAAGATTTTATTTATTTATTTATTTATTTGACACAGAGAGATCACAAGTAGGCAGAGAGGCAGGCAGAGGGAGAGGGGGAAGCAGGCTCCCTGCTGAGCAGAGAGCCTGATGATGTGTAGCTTGATCCCAGAACCCTGAGATCATGACCTGAGCTAAAGGCAGAGGGTTAACCCACTGAGCCACCCACGCACCCCAGCTGCTTACACTTTAAGCTCTCTTGCCTGCTTTTGGACCTTGTCAGTTCTTATAATAACTGCTACCCTCTGGTTTTTGGTGATTACCTAGACTCTGTTTCTGTTTTGTTCAGACCTCATTATATACAGGGTTATTAATAAGCCTGGCGCAGTGACTGCATCTCATATTGTTCCTGGTCAGCAGACAAGAACCTCTTCTCAGTGATGCTGATAATCATTTTTGCAGCTGATTCCTAATGTATTTAGTGGATGCTGTGTCCTCTAGGCTTCTCCTGGAACACAATCTAGGGTAGGTCTTCTGAACTTGTATAATCTATTCATCCCAGTGTGCTCACTTCCCTCAGCCACTTTATTTTATTGGTTAAAGAATTGTTCATAAAAGAAGCAGAATCATGAATACAATGTGTACTAAAAGAAAATGTGGAAGGCATGTGGTATTTGAAGGTGGGAAGAAGCATGATTCAATTTGAAATTAATCTGTTGCATTCAACAAATGGTAAGAACACAGGTCTACTTGGAACACATGGATAATGAAGTAGATAAGCAAGCATTAAGGTTGACAGAACTTGATCCATCCTTCTGAAGAAAACATTTTGAATCCATTTTTTCCATAATTGATCAGATGACAGCTCACTGGATGGATCAATTGAAGAGAGAAAAAAATGGCAAGGAACACAACAGCTGTACATGAAAGAAAGAATCAGGACATATGCAGTGTATGGAAAAACATAATGGAAATAATCAAATGCCTTCACATGCACAGAACTGTATTTTTTCCTGTCTTTACAGTTTCTTTTATTTCTACATATAACCAATAGGCAGATCTTCAAGACTCTCTTATGAGTACCTTTTTAAAAAAAGATTTTTTTATTTATTTGAGTGGGGGAGGGGAGATACAGAGAGAGAGAGAGAAAAAAAAAGCCCAAGCAGACTAGGTGCTGAGCCTGAGTTGGGGCTCGATCTCATAACCCTGAGCTGAAACCAAGAGTTGGATGCTCAACCAGCTGTGCCACCAAGGCCCCTCATCCTATGAAAATCTTCTTAATGGTTCCCTCTTGAGCTACTGAACTTTATTAGAATGTTAATTTAGTAAATTTTCCCCAAGCCCATTCTATACACTAAGCCATGCAATTCCCTTTAATGAATTATACTAAGTATCATGTATAGGTAGTATCCTAGACATTTTGTAAATCAACAGTACAACTCAAACTAAATAAGGTTATCCAAGATTTTGCTTGCAGCATATAAAGTCTTCAAAATACATGAAAAAAATTTTCCCTTTTGGCATTACCATGTTCTCTTGCTTAATTTCAGCTAGGTCTCCAGAGATATTTAGAGTCTTTTCTTGGGTAGGCTATTAGGAGTAAGCTTTGTAATATTGTAGCCCTTTGAGCCTCTCAATATATAAGTCCCTCAACTTTAATATTCTCATGTGTTCTCTCTCTGAAGCTCTATGCGGCTAACAGGCATGTAGAATTACCAAAACAAAAGTCCCCTTTTGTTTCCTGAAAGAAACACACCCAAATTTCTAAACCAAATCTACAAATCAATTCCTTTATACAATAGTATTGTTCAAGCAAAAGATGTTCTTTAAGCAACTAATACAAACCTTACCATCTAAATTCACTTAAAAGAATCTGATGGATAGAGAAAAGTGAAGAAAAAAGGAAGTAAAGTTTTAGGTTTTTACATTCTTCAGTGCTATATCCAGATCAGACCTGTGAATTTAAAACTCAGGAGAGTATTCTTTCACAAAGAGTAAAATGGTGACAGAATACTTCTCACATTGTTCGACAGAGTTGCTCCCAAAATACACTTTTTTCTATTTACCTTTGGAAACATTTTCAACTTAGATGGCAACACAACAGGTATCATTTTGCATTATCAACTTTCACAAGACTTAGTACATTACTTTAATTACTTTATAATTTTTTTTGTCTATGTTACTGCTTCACACACTGGACTTTAAGCTTCTTGAGTGCAGGGAATATGTTTCTTCCAACTTTTAATTGCTATTGCTTCTTACAAAGCCAAGCATAAAGTTGGCTCCCAGTCACTGGTATGCTGGTAAACTGAATCTCTGAAAAATAAAAAGTCCTCATTTGTAGTATTTGTCAGTTCCCAGGTATAAATGATGATTTGAAACCGCCAATATGACATTGTTGAACACAAGAGTTGAGATGCGTTGCACAATATGGCCGCTTGCAAGCTGATGTGTGCGGGCTCCAGCACATTGCTGCCTCCAGTGTTTGTGGGATACATAAAACATCCCTCCTATTTGTTACTTTTCCAACTTCAATTAAATTGATGTGACACATGTCAGGTTTCCACCTCCACTTTCCTCTGCATTTTTCTACCATTTTATACAGCTGAGTTTTAAGTTTCTGCCTATCCCCTAAATTGGTATGTTTACCAAAAAATTCTTTTTGTAAGAACCATATCTTAGGTATGGCTGTGTATAACCACTAATAGGCTGAGCATCATGAATTATTTACCTTTCATTCTTTGTTTGGTTAATATATCTATAGTAGCTCCTTTGTGTCACTTGTGAAACCTCTGAAATTTTATGGAAAATATGAACGTGTTTATATGGGATTTTTCTGTGGAGAAGGGTTCATAGATTTCATTAGATTCCATAGGGATAATTATGCTTTAAAAAAGGTTAAGAAACCCTGCCTCAAACTTTATCCGGTTCTCTGAAGTGCTAATGAATTAGCAAATGCCCCTAATCCTTGAAGCTGGGATACTGACTGTCCAGTACTAGATACTGATCTATGGCTTACATGGCATGACATATCTATTCCTACCTTTTGGACTATTAACTATGAGTGAAGAAAACAAGCTAAAGTATACTCTAGGAAAAACAACACAACTTTTCTTTTTTTTTTTTTTTTAAAGATTTTATTTATTTGACAGATATCACAAGTAGGCAGAGAGGCAGGCAGAGAGAGAGGAAGGGAAGCAGGCTCCCTGCAGAGCAGACAGCCCGATGTGGGACTCGATCCCAGGACCCTGGGATCATGACCTGAGCCGAAGGCAGCGGCTTAACCCACTGAGCCACCCAGGCGCCCCACAACACAACTTTTCTAAAGGTATAATGCATGAACTAGAAGACTCAGTTCTTACTTTTGATCTTATAATATTTTTCCTAGATGCTTTTGGCAGAGTGTTAAGACACTAGTGAATACTGTGACATCTAACATGCAGAGAGCCTAGATTCAAATCTCAACCCTGAGCCATGTTGTCTGGTTGATGGCTTACATGTCTTTAGGCCTCAGTTTCTTCATCTCTAAAATGTAATTAACACTATTATATATTTCATTGAGCTGTTTGAAGAATAAATGGAATATGTCTTAAAAGCTGTTAGTAGAACACATAGTATAAAAGTAGACACTAAATGTTAATTTCTTTGAGTATTTTCATTATTTCATTATTAATGTTTCCATGTTTCCCTTATTTGACTATAAAATTCTTGGGGTATAGCATATTTTATGACTGAAGACACAAAAATGCTCTCCAAATATTTGTTGAATAAAGGAATAAAATGACAAAAAATATATCTGATAGACAGTAACCTACCAGCGTTGTTTTTTACAGTGAAAGTCACTTTTTTAGGTTTTTCTTAACCAGTTATCTCTGTTTATTTTGTAAGGAGAAGACTGCGTGTATAGCCTTGCGAATCTGTCTTGTTTTTACACTATAGATGATCGGGTTGAGCACTGGAGGCAAAAGAAGATAGATATTTGCCATCATCGAATGGACAACTTTGGGGGCTGATGGACCATAGCGATGCACCAAGGACAAGCTCATCATGGGGATATAGAAAACAGCCACTGCTCCAATGTGGGAGACACAGGTGCTAAAAACCTTATGTCGTTCTTTAGGGGAGGCACTACTGAGAACAGAGTAAATGATCAAGATATAAGACAGGACAATGCATGGTGTATCTACTCCTGTAGTCAGGATGAGATCAATTAATCCACAGATGCTGTTGGCCCGAGTATCTGAACATGCTAATTTAATCACATCTGGGTGGTAGCAGTAGGAGTGGGAAAGGATATTAGCTTTACAGAAATTGAGGGGCTTAAGGAGCAAGAGTAGTGGTACTATTAATACTACAGACCCATCTGAATGATTCTAGAATTAGTGAGAATGGTAGCGTACCTCAGAGGATCACAGATGGCCACATAGCGGTCAAAGGCCATAGCCACCAGCACCCCAGATTCTATGAAGGTAAATCCGTGTAGAAAAAACATCTGGATAATGCAGGTATTTAGATTGATTTCAACTGCATCAAACCAGAGGATACCTAATGTTGTTGACATTGTAGAAACAGTCAAGCCCAAGTCAGCAGTTGAAAGCATGGAGAGGAAATAGTACATGGGCTCATGGAGACTCTGCTGGGTAATGATGACAAATAGGATCATGCTGTTCCCAGAGAGGGCAATGGCATAGAGATAACAAAAAGGGATAGAGATCCACACATGGACAGACTCTAGGAGAGGAATGCCAGTCAGCAAGAAGTTTGGAAATTTAGATGTCAGGTTGCTTAAGATCTCCATGTTTTTCTGGATTTGTAGCATTTGTCCTCACAATTATCACATCCTATAGAAATAACAAATTACATTGTCACACAAAAATATCTAGATAAATTTTCTTTTGGTTAGGAGAGCTGTCTAGGTCATGGATTAGTACTTTATCATTGAGAAAACTTTAAATTAAACTATTTTAATTATAAATTATATATATATAATAATATATATATAAATATTTTTACTCTTAAATTCAAGCAAAATATGTCTAAATAATCTTATACATTTTGATGATAATTATTTCCTATATTGGTAGAATTTTAAGTGCCATTAGATCATAAGATTCTATGAATACATTATTAATATATAATAAATAATAAAAATCAGTGCATTCAATTTTGAATATGTTGTATATGAAATGACTGTGGGAAACCCACCTAAAGATTTCCATGGATCTTCAGTGTCCACAAAGGTGTGAATTTCCAGGCAAAAATCTCCACAACATTTCAGAGTTATCACTGTATACATGCCATTTTAATTCAACAGTTTGGGTGAACCACCCTCGGAGAGTACATTTACAAGAGAAAACCAATGAAGACAAACTCCACAGAAGTTATTGGAAAGGACTATAAATGCTAAGGCAAGATGAAGCTAGACAGCTTTACAGGAAACGTTAAAGCCAGGAGAGATGGTGTTATGACTGGGTATTACATGAACAACAGTGTGGAATTGCTTAAGTGGTTAGGTTCTTTAAGGATTAAAAATTTCAAATGCTTATACTCTATGGGGAAAACCCAAAAACTCCACCCAAAACTGCTAGAACTCATGCAGGAATTCAGTAAAGTGGCTGGATATAAAATCAATGCACAGAAATCAGTTGCGTTTCTATACACCAATGAGATAGAAGAAGGAGAAATTAAGGGGTAGATCCCATTTACAATTGTACCCCAAACCAAAAATACTTAGTAATAAATCTAACCAAGGAGGGAAAGGATCTGTACTCAGAAAACTGTAGAATAGTCATGAAAGAAATTGAGGGAGACACAAAGAATTGGGAAAACGTTCCATGCTCATGGATTGGAAGAACAAATCTTGTTCAAATGCCTACACTACCTAGAGAAATCTACACATTCAATGCAACCCCTAAAAAATACCATCAACTTCTCTGTAAGACTGGAATGTTGAAAAAACAAACAAACAAACAAACAATGCTGGTGGCATCACAATTCCAGACTTCAAGCTCTATTACAAAGCTGTAATCATCAAGACAGTAAGGTACTGACACAAAAAACAGACACATAGATCAACTTAACAGAATAGAGAACCTAGAAGTGGACTCTTAACTCTATGGCCAACTAATCTTCAACAAAGCAGGAAAGACTATCCAATGGGAAAAAGACAGTCCCTTCAACAAATGTTGTTGGGGAAATTGGACAGCCACATGCAGAAGAATGAAACTAGACCATTTCCTTACACCACACACAAAAGTAGACTCAAAATGGATGAAAGACCTCAGTTTGAGACAGGAATCCATCAAAATCCTTGAGGAGAACACAGGCAGCAACCTCTTTGACCTCAGCTGCAGCAACTTCTTGCTAGACATGTCTCCAAAGGCAGGGGGAACAAAAGTAAAAATGAACAATTGGGACTCCATCAAAATAAAAAGCTTTTGCACAGCAAAGAAAATAGTCAACAAAACCAAGAGACAACCTACAGAATGAGAGAAGATATTTGCAAATGACAAATCAATTAAAGGGCTAGTATCTAAAATCTATAAAGAACTTATCAAACTCAACACCCAAAGAATAAATAATTCAATCAAGAAATGGGCAGAAGACATGAACAGACATTTCTGCAAAGAAGACATCCAAATGGCCAACAGACACATGAAAATGTGCTCAACATCACTCAGAGAAATACAAATAAAAACCACAATGAGATACCACCTCATACCAGTCAGAATGGCTAAAATTAGCAAGTCAGGGGCGCCTGGGTGGCTCAGTGGGTTAAGCCGCTGCCTTCGGCTCAGGTCATGATCCCAGGGTCCTGGGATCGAGCCCCACATCGGGCTCTCTGCTCCGCAGGGAGCCTGCTTCCTCCTCTCTCTCTCTGCCTGCCTCTCTGCCTACTTGTGATCTCTGTCTGTCAAATAAATAAATAAAATCTTTAAAAAAAAATAAAAATAAAAATAAAATAAAATAAAATAAAATTAGCAAGTCAGAAACGACAGATGTTGATGAGTATGTGGAGAAAGGGGAACCTTCCTACATTGTTGGTAGGAAGGCAAGCTGGTGCAGTCACTCTGGAAAACAGAATGGACATTCCTCAAAAAGTTGAAAGTAGAGCTACCCTATGACCCAGCAATGGCAGTACTGGGTATTTATCCTGAAGATACAAATGTAGTGATCCGAAGGGGCACCTGTACCCCAATGTTTATAGCAGCAGTTTCCACAATAGCCAAACTATTGAAAGAGTCAAGATGTCCATTGACAGATGAATGGATAAAGAAGATGTGGTATATATTTACAATTGAATATTATGCAGTCATCAAAAAATGAAATCTTGCCATTTGCAATGATTTGGATGGAACTGGAGGGTATTATGCTAAGCAAAATAAGTCAAGCAGGGAAAGACCGTTATATGACACTGATATGTGGAATTTAAGGAACAAGGCAGAGGATCATCAGGGAAGAGAGGAAAAAATGAAATAAGACAAAACCAGAGAGGGAGACAAACCATAAGAAACTTTTAATCTTAGGAAAGAAACTGAGAGTTGCTGGAGGGGTGGAGGATGGGGTAACTGGCTGATGGACATTGGGGAGGTATGTGTTGTAATGAACACTGGGTATTATATAAGGCTGCTGAATCACAATCTGTACCCCTGAAACAAATAGTATATTATATGTTAATTAATTGAATTTAAATTTAAAAAAATTCTAGAGAATGTAAAATAATCTAAAGTTACAGAAAGAAAATCCTGGGCTACCCAAGGGAAAGTTTTGAGCAAGGTTCAGAGAGGGAGGGTTTATAAAAGGACACAAAGAAATCTTTATTTTCATTATCATGACTATGGTGGTAGTTTCACAGGGTATGTACATATGTTAAAGGTTGTTAAGTTATACACTTTAAACGTGTAATTTATTTTATGTCAACTACACCTCAAGAAAGGTGTTTCAAAAGAAAAAAAAAAAAAAGAAAGAGTAGTGGTTGCCAGGGTCTAGAGATAGAGGGGAAAGGGTAGTGATTGTTAAACTTCTTATCCAGAATGATAGAAGCATTTTGTAATTAGTCAGTGGTGCTGCACAACTTTGTAAATCTATTAAAACTATAAAAAGTGAGTTGTGTATTTTTAAGGGTTAGGGTTAATTTTATGGTGTATATATTATGTCTCAATAAAAAATATTGTCAATTTAAAAAAAAATTCAAATGCAGCCAAGAGCATGGTGGCCCTAGATAAAACAGTTGAAGTCCAGCAATGAAAGCTGAGAACCTTCTACAGTGTCTTCAGGATGAAGGGACAAATAAGTGGTAGAGGCACAATGCATATCATTTCTGAAAACTCATCAGTGAAGGCAAGGAGAGAAATAGGCCATCACTAAGAAAACCATAGGTGGATGGAGGATTTTTACAAGATTGGACAGACTTAGAGAAATGTAAAGTTAGAGAAGATAGTGAGAGATTGAAAATATAGAACACTAGTGATTAATTGATACAGAAACTAGTAGGTGATTGAATATAGATAGTATTTGATGAATATGATGGTAATTAGCTATCAAAAAATGAGGATCATCATTCCACTGACCCTTGAGGGTAACTGGCAAATGGGTAGATTGGTGGAAGCTTAAGTGAGAAAATTATAATACAGTACGTACTTAGTGTTCCTTTTTTCCTTTTTTAAAAATTGTGGTAAAATACACCTAATATAAAGTTTACCATCATAAGCACTTTTATGTGTATAGTTCAGTGGTATTAAACACATTCATAATGTTGAGCAACCATCACCCCCCTACATCTTCATAATTCTTTTCATCTTGAAAAACTGAAACTGTACACCATTAAACATTCACTCCTCATTCCCCAGTTATCTCTTTATAGAGTTCTGACTACTCCTAATATGTCACATAAGTGGAATCACGCAGTATTTGTCCTTTTGTGACTAGCTTACTTCACTTAGTGTAATATCCCCAAAAGTCATCCATGTCATATCATATGTCATAATTTCCTTCTTTTCTTTCTTCCTCCCTCTCGCCCTTTCTTCCTTCCCTTTTCTCTCCCTTTCTCCTGATTGTCCGCCCCCCCCTTTTCATTCCTTCCTTCCATCCTTCTTCCTTCCTTTCTTCCTCCCTCCCTCCCAACCTTCTTCCCTCCTTCCTTTCTTTCTTTCTTCCTTCCTCCCTCTCTCCCCCCTCCCTCCTTCTCTCTCTTTCTTTCTCTCTTTCTCTTTCCTTTCTTCTTCCCTTCCTTTCCTCCCTTCCCTTCCTCCCTTTCCTCCCTTCCCTTCTTCCCTTCCTTCCTTTCTCCCTTCCTTTCTTCCTTCCTTCCTTCCTTCCTCTTCCTTCCTTTCTTTCTTTCTTTCTTTCTCTCTCTCTCTCTCTCTCTCTCTCTCTCTTTCTTTCTTTCTTTCTTTCTTTCTTTTTCTTTCTCTTCCTTATGAATTAAGAGTGGGAAATTTACTGCTGTCCAAGGAGTATGAAGTGATGGATGCTGGTTTGAGAACATGTTAGAAGTTCTCAGTAAACATTATAAGGAATAAAAGAGGCAGCCAAATATACACAGAAATGTTATAAATGTTATAAAGTCATTCAATTAAAAAGTTAAAAATAATCTTGAAAGCAAAACATTTAAATTGTTAAATTGTTAAAATCAATTCTAGGAAGACTTAAATAATAGCAATATTAGTTATTGTAGTATTAATGTTTTTAATCAAGCTTTTAAAAAATACTAGGTATGTTTATTACCTGAGAGCAAATACCTGTAATTACCATATATATCATAATTCCCTTTAGGGTGGTTTTCTATAGTTCCTTTTT